TTGGAGGTTGCTGTGAGCTGTGATGCCATAGCACTCTACCCAGGGAGATAGCTTCAGGCTCTGTCTCGAAAAAAATAATAAAATAAAATAAATAAAGAGGGGTGGCGCCTTTGGGTCAGTGAGTAGCGTGCTGGCCCCATATACCAAGGGTGGCAGTTTCGAACCTGGCCCCAGCCAAACTGGCAACAAAAAATAGGTGGGCATTGTGGCAGGCACCTATAGTCTGAGCTACTCAGGAGGCTGAGGCAAGAGAATCGCCTATGCCCAGGAGTTGGAAGTTGCTGTGAGCTGTGATGCCACAGCATTCTACTGAGGAGGATAAGGTGAGACTGTGTCTCAAAAAAAAAAAAGAAAAAAGAAAAAAAATGGGGTGGGAAAGGCCAGCAGAGGCTGGATCAGAGAGGATCAATGGCCCTAGGCTAGGAAGGGTACCCGGGCAAAGCCCAGTCCTAAAATGGAAACAAAGCTGAAGTGTCGCTGGTTCCTAGGACATAGGGTGGAGGGCTGAGGAGCAGGAAAGAAGAAACTCAGACCATCATAGCTATTTTCATCTATTCAGCCCACGTTCCCTGAGCCTTTTTTGGCCTCAAGGTGTGCAGAAGATGAGCTCACAGTGGAGTATGGGAGACAGATGCCTCAACAAATATTTTTGGTACCTCTACTGACGCATGCGTTTTGCTAGACACTGAGACAGACGAGGAAGATACTGTCCCCTAGTCAACAGGGAGAGATGGACACATGAGCAAATTAGGGTGTGAAGTACTAAAGAAAACAAGTGTTCAGGGTCCGGTGGGAGCAGATGGAACAAATTATCTGGATAGACAGGCTTCTCTGAAAAGCTGATAGTTGGGTCTTGAAAATGAATGTGGTTTGGGGGAAGGGAGGGCATTGCATTCTAAGCAGAGGGAGCAGAACATGCAAATTGGGTAAAAGTGACTCTCCAAAGACAGTTGGAGCCTGAGTTACTTGGTGGGGGGGTGGCCCACGAAGCTGGAAAAGACCAGTCTATATACTAGATTGAAATGTTTGGATGTCACCTGAAGGTAGGCAGTACAAAGTTGCTAAGCAGAGGGGCAACACTGATAATCTCTGCTTTTAAGGAGATGGGAGTGGGAGAGTCCAGAGAAAGAAGGCCAGTGAGGACAGGCAAAATAGACCAAGGAAGTGATGAGGTCTCACCTTGAACAATGGCAGTAGTAAGAGAAATACAGTGCTCACTTTGCTAACCTTGAGTCCTAGATTTCAGTTGCCTTTAAGTTGTTTCTCCTAGTGGACCCAACATACAACCAGAATTGGAAATTTGTTGTGACATACCCTGGAGACCAGATTCCAGGTCCCTT